CTCTTTATAATTGTTGGAAAACGATTTTTTCTTGAAATAATAATTACTTAATGATGCGTTTGAAGTGATTAAAACGCCACACAATCAGTGGCCACGTTTACAATATAATTATTATGTTGATAGAAATATTGTGTACATATCGTAACAGTCAACCATTTATAATCTTCGTAATGGTAATTAAAGTTAATAATCAGACACCATTTATTTGTTACTATGTAAAAAACTATGCCCATTATTGTTATATAATATTGTTTTCCTACACAAGAATATAGTCACTAAAAAACTAAGTGTTGCCTTTATTGTTGCCCGTTTGGTGGCCAGTACGTCAGTAAAATAATTGCTTAGGTACAATGGACTAGGTTATGGACTGGGTTTAAAATTACCTTTGAAACCAAGTTAAGCGAATTAACAAAGACACTATTGTGTAGACTACATGTTTTTATTGTACCTACTGTTGTTTATGTATAAACGACAATTAGTTAAATAGACAATCTAGTTTGATCCACTTGGCTCTGAAGACTGATTTTAAATTATCCTCCTTCGTGAAAAGGATGTTTTTGTTTAGTTTGATAAAAACTGAACTAAAACAAAACATAATATCTGGCTCGGGTTAGATAATCTGACCGAACTTGTAATTTGTTTGAATTGTTTTTTCGTTTATGGTGTTTTTTTCCCTAAACATTTCCAAACAATTGTAATGACACAATTTTTGATCTACAGCTTGTTAAATGGATCGTTTGGTCCAGCGGTATTGCGCGTGCAGCTAGTGACAAAAAAATCTATTTAAAAAAAATCCCATTATATTATATCAGTTTCGAAGCTAAAACGAGTCATCAATGGCGTCCCGATAAGTAGATTTTTGTGTGCGCCGTGTATACCCGTTAAACCTGTTTGGAGGTATTTTTTTTTCTCTAATAAAAAAACTGTGTTCCGACGATTTTTTTTTGTACCTATAACTACACTTGCGTTATAATTTATTAACTACGAATGTATCGATATAAATATGTGTTCCCCGACCTCGAGAGTCGGTGTAAAAAGTTAATTTATAAAAAAGAAGAAAAATATGATTTATACTCGATGCAAATTATAGTCTTGGCCCATTAGTAGTCTATTAGTGTAGCTGTAGTTCGGTAATGAACTATAAACAAGTAATTGATTACTTGTTCGTCGGACGCATGCAGTAAACTAGTTGTAAGACTATTTGGATTATTTGAGCGAGTCGTATGTATGTGTATTACTATCTTTACCATCAAAAATCACTCATTAGTGTATCCGTTTATGCGGTTTTTATATTCGCTACAACCGAGAATGGTTCGGAGCTACCAATAATAAACAGTAATACCGACTACACTATGACCGGAGCTATAAATAATAATTATAATCTAATTTTTGTTTATCGTATTGCCAAAATAGAAGATGTAGTATAATATATCTTACATATTACATACTGTTTCGTCGAGAATTGTTTTTATTAGAAAAATATCAACTGTATAAAAATGTAGCTAGCAACAACTTTTTATTGTTTTCTTTTTTTTTTTAGCAGAGCTCTGCCCACAAAACGTTATGTAAAGATAATACACGGTTCGATAAGAAATAAAACACCAGTAAACCGAAATAATAGCACTATTATGAACGACGGTTCGTGGCCTATCACCGCCAAGTACACGCGCGGTGTGCACTTCATCCGTATGCTAACTGCCACCGGTTAAAGTTAATGACAATAATAATAACGGGCACATAATATAATATGTATCAAAAACAATATTCGCGCGAGCTAATATACTGCAGATTAGAAAACACTTATTTGAAAATAAACTCAGTACCTACTAGCTTAGTAATACTACTAATAAATACTATAAGCATCGCTGTAGTTTATGCATTTGGAGTAATGTACAATTAAAATATATGTATCGAATAAAATCTAAAAATATGGTAGATTAATGCACAGACTATATATCATGTCCACCCTGTTCTAAAGTGCAAGACTTATATATAAAAAATATTTGATGTTATATTTGATTATATTTGAAATATTTGATAACCCAAAGAAGAAAGTGATATTTTTTTTTTCAAAAACAAGTTTTAGATTATTCGATGTTTGTTATTGAGACTGTTTTCTGTCTGCGTTTGTTTTATTATTGAGTCACAAATTTGCTGAAGAGACATTGAAGAAAATTAATGAATATTTCCCATAAAATTATAATGAAAATGCAATTTTCATTTTGGGGTCCTGTAAAATTTGGTATGAATCATTTTTATATAATATTGGTTCTTTCCAATTTAATTAATTTTTGTTTAAACATTTTTTTTCTAGTCAAAACACGAAGTAAAAAATAGTCGAAGTCCACACGGTCATCATATTACAAATACCTACTTCTAAAATATTTTGTCAAGAGATCAAACATTATGACTGCATACATATTTTAACACTATTTTAATGTTGTAACTTTTTATAAAATCAAACATTTAGAAAAATGTTATTAAAAATGTATTTATTTCGTCTACGTTTTTTTTAACAGTTTTATTAAAATAACTAGTTTAAAAAATAGTGTGAACAATTTTTTTTTTTTTTTTGGTTTAACTGAAGTTTCAATTATTGCCACACAACAGATACATTTATTGAATAGTATCCTTTTGGCCACCTACACGGTGGACAGCTCATTTTGAATAAAAGTGGTTTCTCTCTTAATTATTTAACATATTTCAAATTATCCATAGATATTTTTCAACCCACTATAATCAAATATTACGATTTTATTGATTTAACCACTGACCTCGCTATTATTACAAGCGTATAGTACAATTATTAAAACAAATCTAACCATTTAAATATCGTGCATGGACAACAAATTAAGTTTTCAGCGCACGCACGCAAAACATAAGCTTTATCTTGGGCTGCGTACAATCGCAATTAATTCGTTCGGCGCACAATAAGCACATAATAATATTATCAACGTTTTTCAGTTATACTCGACAACGGTTTATCAGAACTTTGCAGCGCCATACAAAACACTAGTAATATGCAAAATATATAGTGTGCTTACAGTACAACCGAGTGACTCGACAGGGGCTGTTCGGCCAGACAATTTTGGCAATGAAATTTACAAGGGCTCATTTTTAACAAGTTGAATGATATAATTTTTGAAAAACTAAAGTACTCGACATAGGCGTGGACATAGGCACGGAATTATCCGTGTTTTACTCGTACGACTACTTTAGGGTAAGTAAACTCGTGCAAGAAGTTCTGTGGTTGACGGATTTTTCATAACAAATAATTTTATTAATATAAAATAAATTATTAATAAAGTTTGTTTCCGTTGCATTCTGTCATATTAATACATTATAATATATTATTATTGATCGTTTTTTATGTAGGTATTGAACAAAAACGAATCCTATTTAAATTATACACTTTAACCTTTGTATAATGCTCTAAGTCTTTAGCTACACACAAAGTAAAAAATAGGTACAGAATATATGAGTTTTATTCTTTATTCATATATTATCATGTTATACTTTGCCGGTGTTTGTGTGTAAATGTTTTTATTTTCCATCGAGTATATTATAATTTATAAAAAAATATTATATTATATATTAAAATGTATACAAAAATAATATATAGGCGACGCGCCGTTCCCGGTGGGAGGAAGACCGAGAGAGCTTGACAAGTCGACGGCGGCCGGGTAGAAGACGGTCGTAAAAAAGATAATTTTACTGCTCTCTGCGGCCTTCGTTGCCGGGCTGGCTTATAGTTGGCTGATAAATTAAATTAAAAAAAAATCTCATTTTTTACGACTCATTCGTAAAAAAAAAAAAAAATACAAGAAAAACCCGCGGGGTAGAAGAAAGTTTAAAATGCAAACTGAGCTAAGACAAGAAAAAATGTAAAAAAAAAAATAGCCATGTGAGATTCACCGCCGCTTATTCCGTTTTGCGGTTTGCCGATATAATAATATTATACAATATAGTAATAAAAATTATTATTGTTGTTGAAACGGCCTCGCAATGGATGTGTACTTACTGTACTGTGTTATGTATAGCTCTACACGCATACTCTATAATTACCATTGTAATTTACAATAGTGAAACATGATATACACGTGCCATACAGCGAAACACTTTTTGTGTAGGTTATATGTTTCAAAAATATTATTTACAAAATGTTGTTAAGTGCTATGAAAATATTTCCAATGTTTTTCCTATATTTCAAATATTATAATATGATAATAATACCGTCTAGAAATAACACTCGAACTAAGTCATAACCATATAATATTGACCGTGTTAATTGAGTCAAAGAAGATAGATCCTTTACAATATACTAAACCGGTGTTTTTCGCTTTCACTCTTTTGTCGCTTTACTAAATTAATTAGTTCTTCTTTAGGCGCAAAATTGACATAATATTGTCATTAAATGTGGACCATATTATTTGTTATATATCAATGTAGATATTTTGTAAACATTTTAGGTTTGCCGGTGAGTTTATCGATGAAAATTAAATATGATTTTTCGTCTGTCGCATGTTCACCGTATTATTAACGATAACCACTATGTTATAATAATTACTTTAATAAGTGTGTGTGTCATTCGGATGTGGAAAATGTGTCGTAATAAGTGTTGGCACATGTTTTTTTTTTTTTTTATTATAGCAAAGGAGTTCGGCAGTTATCTCCGGGGCTATAATTTACGTTATAGTATAATAATAATAATAAGTCTAATCGCGACCACTGACAATTAATTCGAATTGTACATAGGCGGAGGCGATTAAAACGACATTACGGCCAATAATTATACACTATTATTGTTATTATTTTGTAATCCGTTTATATTGATTTGAAAACCGTCCCATATTAAGCAGATAAGCCACCATTGAGGGCAGTGGTATAATAATTGTTTTAGGCCCCCGTTATCGGCCGATAACGGAAGCCGAGATAAACCGATAGCCCTAGACGTTTAAATACTACTCCGGACCATCTTAGATTATCATGTGTGTCGCAATCGTCTTCGGCGAGTAGTCACGTCAATCCGTTCGCGGTCCCAAACCAGTGAATATTTTTGGAAATCGATTCAAACGACAAGTATAATATTAATATTGTGTTGTAAAACCCAGCGAGAATTTCACTGTCATCGTCGCAAGACCCAGATCGTTTTTGGCGCACCTCCTTTGCTTGTTGTACACGGTAAGAAGACAATATAAATAATATCTGTACAGATCTGGACACACATTCTGGATCGAAAGCAACCGATCTCGCTTCATCGATTTGTCTGGAAAATGTAACTTTCTCTGAAAACTCCTTCCGATAATCATCATCATCATCATTATCCTTCCGATAATAAAATGTTCATTGTTTAAAAAAATCCTTTACTTGTTGTCGGTCCATCCGGTAACGCCGTCGGTTTATAATATTAAGGATTAGTAAAATATGTTACTGTTGATTTTCCATACCGGATCTTTGTAAAAAAATATTAATGTAGTTGATTTCAAAATTGTCTATTAACAGTAAAATAGATTCTGAAGAAAATTATTCTGAGAGTAACCATACATTATAAATTCAGCAGGTGTTTTTACAAAACAATATACGTTCAAGCTGATATAAATAAAGTATGTTTTATAATTTGTTATTTAATTATACTTTTTAAAAATATATTTCATTTAGATGCGTATCCATACTATATTTAGTATATTTTTTAATTTATAAATATGAAGAATTGTGGTTAGCGCAGCAAAGTGATATTATATTAATATTTCATTGAAAAATAATAATATTCAACAGTTAACGAAATAGTTGTAATAATGTCTCGATATGTTTCAATATGATTTTTGATTTGAAAATAAATATCAAAAAAACACAAATGTTTTAAAAGTAAACATAAAACATAAAAATAAATAGTTGAATCAACTATAAATATGGTTAATATAGGAACACAATACATTTATTGGTGGAATTACTAAATAAATTTTTAGGCGAACTAAATGTTGTAGTTGTAATGTAGTTGATGTAACTGTTCATTTAGTTGGCCTAACTTTAAAAATGTATTTATTTCACCTATATATGTTTTTGTGTTTCTATTTTTTTTTTGACTACATATTTTGTCCGTGTATTTCTTAAATATTATTTAATATAATGAATTTTCAAACAAATATTATTCTTATAATATACTCCACTAAACCAAGTATTTAAAAAATACAAGTATTGTTAAATTGTTGTGTAGGAATGGTTTGTTTTAACGAAAACCTTTCTATAATAATTGTAGTCCCATCATATTTTGATTCATTTACAAAATCCAATACATGAAATCAGTTTACTTTGAATGTTTCCCGAGGCCGACTCATGTCGTGTGACAAACTGTACTTAGATTATTTATTATACAAATAAATTAAAAAAATATATATATATTTTTCTTGACGCCAGTGATTAGTAACATACACACTCACATAAATATATAAATATTGTCTACAGTTATATGAAAATTTGAATAAGAGTGTAGTATATATATGTTTGATGTTTTGAATACAACTTTTGTATAATTATTTAAATATCATAGTTTCCCAATGAAATACTATTAAAATAGTTTTAAAATAAACGTTTTTTGCTTTATTTCGTTTAATATATTTGATAGTGATAAATTGCGTTTTATATTATTATTGAAAACATAATAATAAGCGCTTTTAATCGACCGATCGTAAAAAAAATAATATTAAAAGGTCAGAGGATGATGCATGTAATTGTTTTTTTTAATTACAAATAATTATTATAGTCTGAACGAAATGATGACATAATCTAAGTGGAGTTTTTTGTATCTTTGATTAATAACATAATATAGCAACAGCATAAACCTTTGGCTACCGTTTTCCATGTATACCTGACTATACTTGACTGTAGTACAGATGTGTATAGATCATTTTAGCGCATCAAACCTTAGCCGGCGGAGGTGGCTGCCGTGGAATCCATTATTGTTATACACCGTCGACTGCCACCACCCTCGATCCACCATTACCGCCTCCGTGGCCTTTATCATTTCCCCTTTGCAACAGCAGCCCGTTCGATATGCTCGGCCACCCTCGACACCACGCCGGGGTTTAGGGGTTATGTATGTATGCCGTGGTGCAGTTTTGCGCCGGTGTGTGCAAGGGCTGCAAGAGGGTTGAAAAAAAAAAATACTCCGCCGGGGAATACTATACTCTTATTGTTATTATTTTTTTTCCCTTTTCTCGTTTACCGGCGGTGGTTCATCCCTCGGCTTTTCGATCATAATACAACCTACCCCCGCAAAAACAGTAGCCACAGTACCGCACCGGAACCCGATGTATTTGCACACGGTTTCCTATATTTGCTCCTCGTAGTCAATGCCCATAATCTCCGTATACCGCCTATGCAAACAACTACACAGCAGCAACACCGAAGGAAATCCTGTACCTATATTTTGTTTATTCATATGGCCGACACAGTATAACCTATATCAGTCTTGCGTAATGCGTATGTATGCATAATATATATATATATATATATGTATATATTTGTCTCTTTCTTTCTAGCTGTTGTATATCATAAGATAATGGTCTACTCGGATAAGCACCGCACCGGGCTCGGCGACGTTACGAGAATGCCAAACGACAGATTATTATTACAATAATAATAATGCCCAAGTCGTCGTCGTCGTTGTCCTACCGAAATAGGCTTTTTCTGAGCACGTGCCGGCTTTGGGGATATCCGATAAGACGATTCGTGAGCAGACCTGAAGAAAACGGCAGCAGCAGAAGCAGCTGCAGTAGCGATTACGTCAACAACCACAATGCCGAGGAGGATACAAAAACAAACCGAAAAAAGAAAGGTGAACATTTTTTTTCCATTATGTATTTTCTCGGTGTTGTTCTTGCGCCTCGGTAATCGTACAACTTTCCGCATATTTTGGAATCCTCCGCCGTGGTTCATCTGTACTATAACGTGTCTATACGTAATAATATGGCATTAGGCCTAACGTTGCTTCCTGCCCACTCCGTCATACTTTCTGGTTAGGTACCGGAAAACTGAACATTCGTCAATGTTAATAATACATATTATTGTTTTCCCAAAGCCGGCGGTTCCGTGGAATATCATATTAAAAGTCGTAAATTTTCCGCTTGTATCAAAACGAGAGCTAAAGTCTGGCTATATATATATATGATAGGAAAAAACCCGTTTATGGGTATAAAGTTTATTGCGTCGGCCGGCAAACCGAATAGGGATGCGAATAAAAGCGGTGAGGGAGAAACGATAGGGGATAATGTTACAGCCACCCTCACCACCCCTACACGTATATACACGGGTACGGGGTGCGACAAAAGCCACACCTATATTTACACCCACCTCCCCCGGTCGGGTCTCTATCGATCGTTTTGTGTCGAAAGGGGGACGCGTTCACCACGGCGGCTGCAAACTCTGTGTAGGGGCAAAAGCAAAAAAAAAGCTCACGCAAGCGCTTCTGCAACCCTCTCTATCCACTCGAGTACATATACTTAACTACCCCGCAGCTTATGTGGCATCGCCGGGGTCGGGCAAACCTGACTTCGTCTATCAGCCAGCGACCGTCGTCCGAGCCGGATGTGTGTAAAAAAACCAAATAAAAAACGTGTGTGTCTTTACTCAAGTCTTAATGTGTGTAGAAAAACAATAACAACGGAACGTGAGAGACGCACAGCACGTGCTGTGTTTGAGAGTTTTGAAAGAAAACTAAAAATGGGGTTTCCGCGTATAAGGTAAAAAAAATCTGACTCGTTTTTTAATTTTTTTAACGTTTACACTACTAAAAAAAATAGGACTATATGTATTAACGTTCGGTGCACACAGCTGTATAGGACTCGGTTTTAATGGCCGCCGACCGCGGCCATGACGATGGTTGCTGCTGCTGCTGTTGTTTGGCTGCCTCTACAACCCTTTTGTGCTCCGTATACCTACCCTCGTGGTCCGTGACTGTTTTTTAACAAAAAAAAAAAAATAATAATAATAAAAAAATATTCAAACCGTTCTTTTATATTTTTGTACGACCGGAACGACACCCTCGCCGAGGTCTGTGTAGTGTTGTTACAATATATGCTAACTGCTAAGGCGCACCTCGCACGTGTAGATTTTTTTGACATTCCTTTTTTTGTTATTATTTTCTATGTGTTTTTTTTGTTTGTTTCCAGATGTGTCCGCTGCAGTGCTCGACAAGACTTCAACCGCGGCCTCGACGATTAAGTGGAACACCCTGTACGTATACTAAATGTATCCTGAGTGCATTATAAACTGTCCGGTATACCTTCAGTATACGTAACAGGATGCCACACCGACTACACGAGAACGCGGTCCACGACGGGCTGCTGTTGCTGAATTCTTCATAACAATATAATATATTATTATAAACGATTATGTAGTATAGTTTTTAAATAATATGTTCCAATAATGTTGTGTTCGCTTATAATTAATTTCTATGTAAAATAACATTTAAGAAAAAACAAACGCGTGGAGTACGTCAAAACATAACGATTAAACGGCATGTTAATTTAAATTGTACAAAATATAAAATACATGTAAATAATAGCTGTAGATATAATAGTATATAACCTTATCAAATTATAATTGTTTTTTAACTGTTATCGGTTTGGTAATTATTGTATTACGCTTCGACGATTATAAATATTACAATTAAAATAATTATCTTTTGAGTCATAATAATGTTATAACCACTGTGGCTTTTATAATTTACAAATCAATGTAATAATATTATAATCAGGGTTCGGGACTTAAAGTCATTGAGATAGCGCTTAAAATAGTGTTGATATTAAAACTATAATATAGAAAATAATAAATACAAGATATTTGGGTTTTTTCTCGGTACTTTTAATTATTGAAAACATTTTTACAATACTTAATACCGACACAGAATTACATAAAAAAAAAATTGTATTCCGTTTAGAATGGCCTCACAACAAAGTGTAAATTTCATAAATGTCGTATTATTCAGTAGAACAAAGATCATAACAGCATTTAAAACTAACCACAAGTTATTTTGAATAGAACAAATTTGAAAATCTTGTAACATTTCTATAGCGTTATGTTATATATTATATATCATTTTAAAAAATTAAGCAAATATTTCAAGTTTCGAACCCTGTTTATAACGTGCTGCTGATCCTGTTTGATAATATTATATGGTCATTTGTACATAATGGTCGATTAGAAAAATACAAACGCACCGTAACACCCAATTAATATTATATTACTGAAAAATGAGATTAGAAAACTGGCATTAAATATTGTCACACCTGAAATATAATATTATTTTATACAAATTTTCAAATTACAATATGTTGTACCTAAAACGCGACGTTGTAGTGTATACCTACAGAGGAAAAAATACATTGCAGGTTCAACTAAAATTATAGACAAAGTAAATTTCTAGTTGGAAACTAAATAATAGCTGCTTTAACTATACATTTAGTTCGGCTGTGTACTTTTTTCCGTATAGGTATTGGCTAATAAATTATGATACATAGAAAAGTAACATGTTTTTATGATAATTATTTTAAAATATACTTGCAATTGTATAATTTAAAAATTAAAAATATAAATATTTATGAAACAAAAAAAAAATGTATACATTTTCATTAAGACTTATATATCGTGTCAATAAAAGTGTAATTTATAACTTAATTTAACAAAAATTAAATTATAGTTTTGAGAAGGAAAAAAAAATCAGTCAATTTGTAAAAGTCCATAATTCTCTTTATGCATTGTGCGTATAAAATGATCTCTAAAATATACTCGTTTGACAAGGTTAATGATTCGAGAAAAAAAAATAGGTATATATATTTAGATAAAAAATAAAAATGTTAAATATAATTTTTATATATTATTTTGTTCAATATCAAATGCACTATACAATTACGTGCTTGGTTGTATACATTAATTATGACCAAAGTAGTAGTTTTACAAACGATTGTACCGGTAAAGAAATATTTAGATGTTTTATAAATATATATTATGTACTAATATACATAGAATTATTGCTCATACAATTTAATATTATATTAAACACTTTATTGTATAATATTACTAATAATTTTATTAGTACTAAAAAACTATTACAAGCTATAACATGACCGTTTATGCTTAGTAAGAGTAATTTATTACACTGAGACATGTAGCCATGATTGTAAATGTCATCAGCGGCCATTTCATGAAAATACATTATTTTTACAAATTATTTTCTGAATTACATATTAAGAGGACGCTACCCACTCGTAATTTATTAACTTAAGCACAATCAAAATTATTCATTCGTAAAGATTCATTATTTTTTTCCTTTTTTCATTAGCTTATAAAAAAAATATTAAGTATAGATATAAAAAAAAAAAAAAAAAACGCTAGATAAAGTTTGCTTCATTATGCAAATTGGTAAATCTACTAATAATCACATACAGGTCTCACATACTTGTCCAACGCAAAGCAGTTTTGATGGGAAAACAATTACAATTTTTCTTATATTTCTATAATAATGCGATGGTCTGACAAAAAAAAATGCAATAAATAAACTACCCTCATTACTGTATTTATAAGTATACACTATTATATATATGATTTTGCGAAAAATTGCTTATACTTTACTCCTTAGAAATCGGCTGGGTAGCGTCCTATTAAATTGTTAATTAATTAGAATAAATAAAATTGAATGCAATATTTCTAAATGAAAAGTAATTTTGTTAGAAAAACATATCAATATATTCTTCATAAATTATAATTTTTAACTGTGTGGGACTTGAAAACTTAACTGATGTGTAGAGTTTATTAAATCACCATTCTAAAATAAGTTATGACTGTAGTCAATGAACTCAGTAAGTAAATGGTACATAATCTTGCCAGAGAATAACACCATTATAAATATCATAAAATGTATTATACAATTATTATTAAATATTAAGTATATAGCGGTACATAATCTTGTCAGGGAATAACATTATTATTAATTATTAACATTTATTCAAAAAATTATACAATATGTACAGAGTTTTTTTTTGTGCAACATGCATAAGTAATGTAATTTAGAAAAAAAAATAACATAAGTTCACTTGAATACTTAATTGGAGAAGTCGTGGTACACCGGCAACATTATTATAACTATTTAATGAATATCGTTTAATTTTCTTTAATTTAATTCTTTGATCTTGTGTAACATGATCAAATAAACGAGAATGGTTATACTAATTAATTATATGCATTATGCAGCCAATATTATTATTTTAATGCAATTGGAAATTCTAAGATAAATTCCATAATTGTTTTATAACTTGTGTAATCAGTCTACAGATCTTTTTCACTTATATTGATCGGTTAAAATATTTTAATTAAAACAAAAAACGGGTATACAAAATTGTACAGTTTTAGTTTCATAATTAATGTGTGTTCAATGTTGTAAAATAAATGGAGACAAACAGTTATTTATTTTGTTGTATCATATAAAGTAAATATAATTCTTATGTGCTTGATTTTGGTCTTGCAATTGTTAATACATAATAGTGTCTATATGTGTCCATGCAAATATTGTTATTAAACATAAAATATTAAATATATGAAAATAATGAAGCTTCATATTTTTTTTCATTTTCTGGGATTTTAAAACAACCCGTTAACTTTACTACATGTTATTTAACGTGCGTACAGAACGTTTTAGAGAGCTAAAAACAAGATATTATAGGCGCCGACTATGTATACATAATAATATAGGGACCTAAATAAAATAAATAAAACAGTTGCTCGTGGGCGAGTCTTATAATAAGATTTGTGTATGTATATCTAGAATATACATACACAGACCTTAACGTAATAGATGTTTCAACTTGGATACATAAAATATACCAGTAAGTGCTATATATTATTATTTAAAAAAAAAATTGATTTTGTATTCGATTAACAATATAAGTTGTGTGTCTTACATAGCATCGTCTGATAATTTACAGTTCACGCCCACGAACCTTGTATTTTCTTTTACACCAAGAAGAAGAAGAAGAACGCTACACGCGTTGTAAAATAGAATTACTTTTATACATGTCCAAGTCGAGTTACACCACACAAAGGTACATACACATATTATGTACATATATTATACTGTTCATTGCGTTTTGCCATAAAATATAAATAGTATTGACTTTGATAACGTACAGTGTGTATATTTTTTTATATTATAAAAGAAAATCATTTTTAACGTATGCGTTATTTATATTATATATAATAATATAATATAAGTATAATGGAACAAATTATGTATTTATATGAGTGTAAATTATTATTGACATAAAATTAATTAAAAAATATTAGTTACAGTTAAATTTTACTCGATTGCGACAATAAGGTAAATCAGTTTTATTCGTTTTATAACCTATAAGACCTCATAATTATCTTAATGGATCAAGACTCAAGTCGACTAAAGCGATAAACGGACATCTGTATCTCTCTCCGCGGTCAACTGGACTTAAAAATTGTGCCTAAATACAACTACTAGAGATACAACTATACTTCCTTGTAACCATTGCTCAAATAGATTTGAAAAAAAAAATTAACAATTAATACACAAAGTTTTTGTATATTTTATCATTCATAATGTAAAACATCCGAAGTCGATGAGAGGAAGTAATTGATCTATCGTTATCCGTTTCTCATTTTAAATAGGCTAACTTCTTCTATAATATAAATTGTACGATAATATTATATAAGATAACTATTAAATGATTAATGGTTAATGAAAGAATTTATTTTGAGTATTAAAATAAAAACATTCAAACGTACACAGCTCTGATTTTGTATTTTAGAAATAGTTCACCAAAATTATATAAGTTACCGAGGAAAACATGCGTATACTTTCCCTTAGTTTACTTTCTCAAAGAGTGTACAAAACACCAACAATGGATATTGGGGTTAAGGTGGACATCCGACTATTTTCACTGTTCTGGTTATTTACGGTGAATGTTATGAGAATACCCTCGACCGTTGGTTTCCGACCGAAGCTGAGACGTTTTTTTCTTTTTATTTGGGTCAACTACGTTTTTTTGTTGTTCTTTAAAACTCTGAAAACGTATTAAAAAACACGTTTGGGTGTACATAATTCCGTAATTGTTACCGTAACGGATCGGTAAAAAACTGTCCTGCGGTTTTGTGAGGTAAAAAAAAAAAAACACTGCGGTCAACGAAAAAGCAGAACAGTCCCTCCGGAACGCACACCTTAATGGTCACAAGACAATGCCGAGCAAAATACCTGTATTGTTGTCATTACTCGGGCGGCGAGTCACAATGTAATGAGAAAGGTGTCACTGGGCCAAGCCGTAATGTTTATTGCAGTGCATTACGAGGGAGTACCCTTTGGTTAAAAAAAATAATAAAAAAGAAAAGAAGAAGTAATGTCTCGTGGACGTAAAAAAAATAAATAAAAAGGCGACGGTAAAATAGGTCAAAGAAAACGACAGTTTAAACGACGGCTATGAGTTTACCCTTCACTCGTTTGGAGTCAGTCGGATGTCTGATGTCAAAGTAGTGTTGTGCGGTTTCTGCGGTTCAGTACTGTTTTTGGAACTCCACCGGGCAAAAGCACTCTCTTGGTCGTCCAAAACCGAACGAGGTAAGTCACAGAAACGATAATATTGTTACAGTATTAAAATGAGCGAAAAACTTTCAATTACGGTCCGCGCGGGTCTAAGTTCGGAGTTCCAATATATTAGCATGGAAATCGCCGACCTATTTTTTTCAAATTATGTCGTCTTGAGACCGTCCAAGACCGTCTTAATCACCGCTCTCCTTATGTATATTATCTTTACCATCCTTAACATAACCGTTCCACGAACTCGTTTCGGTCAAACCATACTATGTGAAAATAGCATATTATGTTTTTATACTTAGTATATACAATTAAGCCACCATGAATTTCATTGGCACAACTAGAGGTGGGGGGGGGGGGGCTAAGGAAGTTCAGACTTTTTAAAAACTCTGAATTCTCCATCAGAATTTCAGTAAAAAGTATAAACCTTACTTCGGTGCTGTGCTTGATTGGTTGCTGATATTTTTTTAGAGCCCGAGCAAGTCTAGAAGGATTTGAACTTCCATAGCCCCCCTCAAGTTGCGCCTATGATGACGTTGTATTCGTCTGCTTGAAAAAAACTACATAGTTAGTCCAACCAAAAGTTATTTGGTAAACTTACATCTACACAATACATTTCTAGTTGGAATTACTAAATATATCTATAGTTGGCCCAACTAAATGTATAATCGTTTTTAAGTTTTATCAAACATTCAGTTGATCCAACTAGAATATTATTGTATTGACTGTATAGATTATAATTATTTTTAGTTGAACCAACTATGTAATGTTTTCCCGTTCAAGCCGACGCTGCCGCTATCTGTACGCTATCAGGGATGACCGAAAACCGCATCCCTTCGGTGGTGCCTCCGGGATAGACGGACAGAGGGAGAACGAGGGAAGGAGACGAGCGGGAACCGCGTGTTAGGCGTGGAAGACGCGAGGGTTGCACGCCCTTCCATTACGCCTGTGCGCGTGTGACTCCACCTTTTGCGGTATGGCGCCCGGGCTACCATCTCTTTTTAGTAGCCGACGGCCATGAGGCGTTTGTACATAATGTTATATTATTATTATGTGCTGTATCTGAAATACACGTTCTAAGCGCCTAATGTCAACGTTCAAAGACGTAGTATAGGAGTCTGTACTATGTTAACTGGAATCGATAGGAACTGGAACCCAAAACCGTTCGACGCGTACAAGTGTATTATGTAAATTCTCAAGTTGTGTATTCACAAGTACACAATAGAAATTGAAGTTTGTTTTTCAAAACGATCATCTTAAGAGAGTCTGTTTTTCTTCATTATTATCGGTCACTATTATAAAACGTTCCACTTTGCTCTTATATAGCGGTCTAAGTATCTCAAAATGTCGGTTTCAATAGGTTTTTTTATCAAAGTAATTGTAAACAGGATAAGCGTATTTTGAAAAATAAGCTATTAGAAATATTATATAGAAAAAAAGACAAAATTAGACCGTTAAAAAGTTAGCTATAGTTTTTACACCTAAAATTATGTAAGAGACATTCTCAAAATGTAAATGATTGATATTTAATTAACAATCGACGCTTAATAAATATTTTTCTACAATTTAATTACAATTAATAAAATAAAATTAATAACTTTGTTTTCTTAAATAAATAAAACAACTGTTAATGCAAATTATGAATCCTCGATGAGTTATCTATTATTAAACACAGTCCACCCAAAATTATTGGTGTTGTAAAAACAATAATCGATTTTATAAGCCTAACAAAAGTAGTTAAACTAAAAATATTTTATTTCTGAACCAAGAGATATTTTGTTGGTCTTACTGCGCGCGTCTAGGTTCAGTCTTAGTTCAACAAAGTGTTCAACCATAAACTACTGCGATTACTTTTCGCTTTGGACTAAATTTTTCTGCTACTTAACAGAAATGTTGGACCAACTCTTATGCGTGTATTTTGTCAATATTTTGTACACTATTAAGATATAGACTGCTTTAGATGCAACACTCAGTCCTAGTGCTCGCGCGGTATAAATATAACCTAAAATAATTAAACTACGAGAATCGTTTCTATTAAATAATAATCTGTGCCTTAGCTATGTTTCAATATGATAGTGTCACAAAATTAAGTAATTTAACCGGTTGTAGCTTACCTGGTCATGCGGTGATGAAAGGTCTGATTTTTTTATGATAAAAAACACGGGAGAAAATACATAGTTGGTCCAACTAAAATTATAGTTAACACAATACATTTCTAGTTGGAAAACTAAATAAATAGATGGGCTAACTAAATGTGGTATAGTCGCTTTAACTAAACATTTAGTTGGCCCAGCTATATATTTAGTTACTCCAACTAGACATTTATAGTGTATATTAACCATAATTTTTAGTTGGACCAACTGTATGTATTTTTTTTTTTTGTGCTCAAAATCGGGCGATGTCGTTTCACTGTATACCGAATTTGTGATCTGAGCATTTTTAATCCTGAAAATAAAAAATGAAGAATTAAAAAACAATTATCTGTTATTTTTGATTCTACGGGTTCATTATAAACCGTTACAAAATTAATCTGTAGTGCTTAACATATCACCACTTAAATACAATTTTTTAAAAAGGATTTCCAATTTGTTTAAATGATCAAGCCTAACAAAACACAATAGTTGAGCCACTGATTGTTTTTTAATCGATTCTAGCATATGTAAGTTTTGCACTTCAGACAACGATAAAATAGTAGTCCTAAACGTTTATAAATTAAACATAACCACAAATTGTATATGGGTAATTAATTAATTAATTAGTCATAATGAAGAGACAATATAAGCGAATGTAAATACACAACTAAGCTAAAATTATGTAAGTGGACATGTTTTCCAAAAATGTATTACTTTGAGTACAATCGCACTATTAACAGTTCATTTTTAAAAAAATGATTAAAACTTTTCAATATTTTCATAATTTTCAAAATATAGTCTAAAAAGTTTTGTAAACAAGTGCATTTTCGGTCAGATAAGAAAATAAAATTCTTAACTCGAGTCTTATGTTTTTAAATAAATATATAATAGACACTACATATAAAACCAAAAAAACATAGCTATTAATAATAAAAATATGAGTTATGCCAATAACATGGCTTAAAAAAAACGTGAATATAAAATAAATTTTAAAATATTATTTATTATGTATTTTACATTTTATGATAGTATGTTATGCAAATTAATCCTGATTTTACTTTATGGATTTTGTTCGATTTATGAACAAGTAAATTGCATTTTTTTTTATAGTTTTTAAATATTTTGTTTTATGTAACAACAGCGTGCACACTTTACGGTCATTGTACTGTACACTGTGAGTCAATACTAACACTTATTATTAGTAACGGGCAGACTCACTTATTGGGCAATCGACCGTCTCAAGAGAAAATATTCAGCCCTTTTCCGAGGCGATCGAACTTGAGGCTTTTTAAGACTATCCTCAGTCAAAAAAAGCCTTACCGAAATAATAAAAATAATACTTACACTTAACAGTATAAATACTCGTTTTTAATGAAGATTATTTATTATGAAACAGCGTAGAAACAACTGTAGTTAAAATTTTGTAATATTATGTATTTGACAAGTAAATAATTTTAAAACAGTTATAATGTTCCATACGAATATTGCAAAAATGTCATAGAAAGTCAAATTCTTGGCGCGCGCTATTGATTTTCGGTGCCAGACTTTTAGAAAACCTAATCAAGACAAATGGTAGCCAATAATTGCATAATGATTTAATTTATTTAAACGCTTTTGAAAACAAATATACAGAGACTTGAAAACTATTTGGTAAATATAATACGGTCATTGCATTGTGAAACCTAATTTGTACAACTATGTATAGTTACTGGATAAATTAAACTGAATGAATAACTTGCATTTTGAAAACAAAATAACTTCATAAAGACTAAAGCCGTGTCCCTCCTAAGACTTATTATATTTGTTGTTGGTATGAAATATTTATTTCAGACAATATATTTTCGTTGAGAATTTAAAAAAAGATTTACTTTTGCAAAGTAATTTTAGTTACTCCCGACTGAACTAGGATAGTTAATAAAACAAAATGATTTTTCACAATTTAGATTAGCCTATTATCGTTATATTGCATTCCATCATGGCCTAACATGTTCAAAAGCAAGTAAATAATTATTAATACTTTATATGTCAATGAAAACTGTTTAAAATCATTGTACACGTTACATATACACACACTCTGTCTACCTCTGGGTACTGCTGTTTGCAAATCTTGTGGTTTTCATTGAAACGAACCACAGTACACTCATAGAGGGCGGTTCGCTTATGGGGGGATGATTTTTCCCCATACAAAAAAATCCGAAGGAAACTGAACCCGGAGTTATGGCAATACTCAATGGCAAACTTCGAACTAATATTTTGGAAATATGTAACCGCTTTAGGTATTAATAATCTTCATTACAGTCTACTTCACTTTAATCGGCCGTATTTATACTGTAACAAATCAATAATTTCAACACGTCAGTTTATTATTAGCCTTAGGATGTTTATTTTTAAAGTAATTAATTTTATATAATGAGTTTAGCCTCATTGTATAGGTACAGTAATTTCAAACGGGAATCAGCTTCTCGCATCATGGTTTTCTTATTTTTTGTATTGCTTGGGAGAGGAATAATTATTTCTCTAAGACCTCTGATTTTTTTTTTATAAAAACTTTTAATACAACATATCGTAGTCCTCGAGTGTGTTTTTGAATAACTTAACGTTTTATTACTACCGACTTAATTCAATGTCAATAACTTTTTTATTCAAAATTCACCACGGTCAGTGGCCGAAAAAATCTAGTTTGTTAAGTTATGCGCTAGTAATAAAACGGTTTTGAATTTCGAAAACTAAGTATTGCCTAGGACAACGAAATAATCAATAGATTTTTTTTTTTTGCATGGGAATGATAATTATGAAGAAATCGTATTTTTGAAAATTGAAGGTCAATGTGCTCTGTGAGATGATTTAATATTAGTACGAGCCGCATAATAGTTGGATTGGGCTATTTGGGGTATGTTTTTTTATTGCTTCACGTGATCCTTCGTTTCCATTTCATCAGCCTGTATAATATACTTGTGACCCTTGTGCGTGACGCCGTATAAAATGAACGTCTCAATACTTTGTGTAGTACCTCGACCTATGGGCAGATATTATACAGTGTCTGTGCCAGTATTTGATGTGTGTGTGTGTTTACAGCTTATATGCGTGTAAAATATATAAATTTAAGTACTCGGATGATCGTAAACGGGTCACATTTATGGTCGCAGACGTCCTTGACCCTAACCGTGGGCTCCCCGAAAATTGTAATATTATTTTTGCCGTTGACCGCCATAGCTACAGTGTGTATACATAGGCTTTGCGTTTCGCCCAGGGGCAAGTTTATGACTTGTCGTTAAACCTTGTATTACATTACTATTATCACTATACTATTATTGTTGCTATTATCATTATTATGACGTGCTGTCGTTGTGGAAAATCAATTCGCCCAAGTGTTGATAGGCGGTGGTGCCAAAAACGCATTTGGTGACGTCACCACGTCGACACCAGTAAAACGGTTTTTATGACAATTTTTATTATCATCATCATTATTACCGCTATTGTACACAACCTGCCATTGTATAGGTCAGGTCCTCCACTGCAGTTTAAGTGTAGGTATTCGGTGGGCAGTCCAACGTTTCATTGTAGTGTACCTATATTATGCTCTCCAGTTATTAGATTAGGTTATAGGAATACTAAGCATAACGCAGTGGTCAGTGATCGACATTTCTACACTGGCCAACAATCATTTGTGATGTGACCGTTACACGTTTATGATTGATACATTTTGTATGTAAATCAAATATCCAACATAACCGTTTTATAACCATAAAACATAGCAACAACGCCTTGCGGTTCAACGAGATTGATTTCTCAGTCGAATACTCAAGTCGGACCAAACGTAAGTACTCAACATTCAGTTAAAACTTAAAGCGAAATGCGCAACTGAGTTCCTATTTAAATGTATGATTATTATTGGCCACACACAACTGGTGAAAAAAAAAATGTACAATTTGAATGTACAATCTCAAAAATACTAGGTACATAAATGCACATTATACAAGTTGATTCATTAAGGATAACACACTCATTTTCTTGGAAAACATTAATATTCTAAACATTTTTTTCTTCCAACAATTTTCGGTAAATATTGCACTGTACATTTTTCAATGTTTTGAACATTTTTATTTTCATCCCTTATAAGTTATATTATGAGAAAAATTATTGAACATTTCTGAAAAGAATATTGACATTCAAATTTTTTATTTTCATTAATCCGTTTGCTATGACTTTGCGAAGATTTGATGTTTTGCCTACTTTTTTTAGTATTTCTTTTGCTTTGTACAAAAACTTTCAGTTTTAATAGGTTACGTAAAACTATTTTCAATGTGTTATCGTATCATTACCAGAAAAATAAACAAGTAACAACTACGCATTACGGTACGTTGTGACTTATGACATTAGTACAGTGTTTGAAAGGTATTAATAGGCTATTACACGGACTTTACACTTTAGCCGGGGCTCAATTTCCACTACCACTGCTAATTTCCATGTCTGGTTATCACAGATGACAGTTTAAACGATGCACGTCTTATGGGTAATTGTGAAAAATAAATAGTTAAGACAACTATTTGTTGTGTAATCAATTTGTGTACAATATTGTTACCAGTTTACTGGCGTAGGAAATAATGCGCATTATTGAAATCCTCAAAAATGTGTATAATTTCAGAATGATAATAATTGTCAAAGTCGGATATAATTCTTCACATTTTTAGTATTTCTTACCGCCGAGTTTTATTTCTATTTATTATTGCAACATTTTCCGAGAAAACTTGTCCTTAATGAACGACTCTCTACATAAACCTGCGAGGGTAAACAATATAACAACAATAAAAAATTCTCGAGTTGTACATAGTAGACCCAGAGCGAGTATTTTCGGTCTGTACATTGCGAAAATGTACATGTAAATTTAATATTATAATAAGCACACCCAGTGCATCACATTGTCTTGTCATTGTTGTTACAGTGTACGGTTACGGGACGGTCTAATAAAACTTAAGAAAAATAATTATTTTCAACCGACACGCGCGTTACAAAACGACGCGGTATGCAGACAGACAAAAGCATCAACAAAAGACAAAATTAACGACTTCGCCGCCGCCTCTGAGACATTCTCCGACCACTTGTTTTATTGCGAGCACAGCGAAACATCATAATTACAATTATTTCAACGATGCAGATGTTTAAAATTTAACGATTTCGGATTGTCTTGACCGAAACAAAAAAGGCCGACAACGATAATATAAATCATCGTTAGGGGTTAGTTCAATATATTCCAATACTATAAGCAGTCTAATTAATTGCACATTCAAACGATAATATCCAGTTAATGATTCA